CCTGCAAGCAGGGCCGGGGCGGGGGGGGCGGGGAGCAGCATGGCGGGCAGCCCGGCCTGGAAGCGGCGGTGCGGGAGGCTGGGCAAGCAAAGGGCGCCCGGGGTGGTGGGAGCGGAAGGGGCATCGTAATCAAGGCCGCAGGGCTGCAGCGGGTTCGCCCCAAGCGTACATGTGAAATTCAGGAGGCGCCTACAGGGCAGCATTACAGGGAGAGCTCTCCTGCTTGGCTACCTACTGTTTAACTTCGTTCATGACCTGGGTGGTGGGACTGAACGCACCCTCAGGTTTGCCGATGATACGCCTGAGGGCTGTGCTGCCGTTCAGAGGGCCCTCCATGCTGGAGAGATGCGCACGGAGGAACCTCATGGAGCTCAAGAAGGGGCAGTGCCAAATCCTGCCCCTGAGGAGGAACAAACCCCCCCCCCCCCCCACCACCGCCCACAACAGCCAGGCGCCACGGCGCGCCCCCCGACCTGTCAGCTGGGGGCTGACAGTCTGGGAAACAGCTCTGCAGAGAAGAGCCTGGTGGACACCCAGTTGACCGTGAGCCAGCAACATGCCCTCGCAGCACACAAAGCCAACAGCCTCCTGGGCTGTGTTAGGCAGAGTGTTGCCAGCAGGTCAAGGGGGGTGATCTCTCTCCTCTACTCAGCACTGGTGAGGCCACACCTGGAGTGCTGGGTCCATTGCTAGGCTCCCCAGTAGAAGAGAGCATGGACATACTGGAGCAAGACCAGCGAAGAGCCACAAAGATGTTTAAGGGACTGGAGCATCTTTCGTATAAACAAGAGGCTGAGAGAGCTGGGCCTGTTCAGCTTGGAGAAGAGGAGGCTCGGGGGGATCAGATCAATATGTATAAATATCTGATGGGAAGATCTGAAGGGGGAGTGTCAAGAGGATGAGGCCAATCTCTTCTCCGTGGTGCCCAGCAACAGGACAAGAGGCAACGGGCACAAACTGAACCACAGGAAGTTCCACCTAAACCTGAGGAAAAACTTCTTGACTGTGAGGGTGACAGAGCATTGGACCAGGTTGCCCAGAGAGGTAGTGGAGTCTCCTTCGCTGGAGATCTTCAAAACCCGTCTGGATGTGATCCTGGGCAATATGCTCTAGGTGACCCTGCTTGAGCAGGGAGGTTGGAGTAGATGATCTCCAGAGGTCCCTTCCAACCTAAACGATTCTGTGATTCTGTGATGTAAAAAGGATGGAGCCAGACTCCTCTCAGTGGTGCCTAGTAACAGAACAAGAGAGTTTGGGCACAAATTAAACACAGGAAATTTCATCTGAACCTAAGAAGACACCTGTTTACTGTGAGGGTGGTCAAATACTGGATGGAACAGGTTGCCCAGAGAGGCTGTGGAGTCTCCATGCTTGGAGATATTCAAAACCCAACTGGACACGGCCCTGGGCAACCTGCTCTATGTTGTCCTGCTTGAGCAGGGGTTCTGGATTAAACTGTCTACAGAGGTCTCTTCTGTTATATAATATAAACAGATTATAACATATAATAACAGATAATATTCTGTTATTTTGTGATCCTTGTCAATGCCTGTGTCATGTAGGAGTGAAAACTTCACACTGGCTTTCAGTTGCGTTTGGAAATAGCATTTTATTCCTACAGAGCTGTCCGTTTTTTCCATTCCCCTCTTGTCAGTTGCTGAGTCTTAATCACTTTGTGAGAAATACTCCATATGTCAAACAATGACTACCTGGAGCAATATTTTTATAATCAGCTTCCATTTTTCTTCTTGTTGATCTTGTTTTGCATTAAGTTCTTATTACTTGGAAATACTCATGTCAGCTGTGGTCCGTCCAGCCATAAATCATCTCTGCCACCTTTAGCGGAGTGGTTTCTGAAAACAGGAAAGCCTGAGAGGCTTTGCAGAAATTACGTACTGTCGCCGCTGGTAGTAAATATTACAGTGGGGAAAAGGAAGACTGAAAGACAAATCTAAAATATATGATGATAAATCTCTAGCCTATCATTGTGTTGTTTATTCAGGATGTCTTGCCATCAAACTGAAAATGTCATAAAGAAAATCATTCGTGAAATAGGACAAGAATGTGCCAGCAAAGGACAAACTGTTTCTGAAACCTTGGTAGCTTTCATGGTAAGAATAAATTAAATGTTTTATTTATTTTTTGTTATTTCATCTGATTTTTTTTCCAGTAATGCTCATATTTTCTTATGGTCAATAAAATATTAACAAATAAATATATTCTAATAATGGAGCATGTGGATCAGAATTTTCAAACCTGGGTGCTTCTAGCTTGGCGGTCCAAACCTGTTTCTAAGGCTTTCATGGTGTAAAGACTTAATTTTACACAGTATGAATAGTTCCCCTTGAAGTCAGTGAGACTGTTCAGAATGAATGCTGTGAAGCAAGGACATAAATCATTCCTTTGGTGTTAAAAATCAATAAACTTCAAATGTCAAGTTCCTGTCACAGTGCCAAAGCTGGGATAGCTACAGCTGAGACTTTCAGGAGTGATTTAAATTTTGAAATATCTCACTTTCTGATTGCCCAAGTTGAGAAGTTTTAAAGGGGCATTCATTGATATTCAGTATGGGGTCCTAAAAACCTAAGAAAGCATCTCATTCCTCTGAAATGCTTTGTATGTGACTGTAAGGCCCTGGAAAGACTGTCAGTCATGAGTCTTTGCAATTCTTTAAACTCAGAATGAGAGTTCTCTCTCATTTTTCTTCTGTAGGCTGATAAACCATTTTTGTTTTTTTTTGAAAAGGAAACAATCTCATTGTTATCCTTGGAAGACAACTGTATGAATGCTAAAAACTTTATACCCTTTGGCATCTGTTCTTATGAAACACTTTGCAGAGCGTTGCAGAATATAGTCTAAATACATCCACAAACTTTTTGTGTAGAAAGATGGAGCTTCTTTCTTTAGGGATGTCTTAAGAACGCAATTGATAAGCTCTTGATAAGCTTTTATAGGAGCGTAAATGGTTCACAGCAGTATTGTTAGTCTGTCTTTTTTTTTCCTAGATGAAGAAGATAGTCTGGCTTTAGAAAATATGCTGGGCTCAGAAGTAGTATTAATTAAGCATGAAAAATGCTACGAGTGAAAAACTTTCTCATGTGGCTGGCAAAATACCTCCAAGCATGCAAATATTTCCTTATATGCAAAAACACTATGAAATTTTTATCTAAATAGTATTTTTTTAAATGTGCATGTGTAGTGGTGCATACAATACCAACCTGGAAGTGTGTAAACAAGCATGACTGATTTTTGTAAAATTTTACTTAGAAAAACATTTTTCCAGGAAACTTGTAAAGGAGCTATATTTAAATATTTCTCTGCAGTGTTTGCATCCCAAGTAGTTAGGTTTTCTTTCCACTTATGTCAGAGTGGAAAATTTGAAATCTGGCAACAGATGAAATGCAGTAATTTTGTTTCATTATCGAAGATTGACATGGAAAAAAGAATAGTAAAGATAATATCTGCTTTTAAAAATTTAGTCAAGTAATTATTTGCACAATTGAATAATCTGAAGTATATGAGTAATCTTCCGGATGGGAAAATTTGTAACTTTCCACTGTTTCTTTTAAACCATAGCTCTGTCACAGTTCCTTATGTTCAATAAATGTATAAAGAAATTCTTATGCATTGCACTCTCCAGCTGTTGTTCCCAGTCATTGTAAACCATTGTTCCTACAAACCTATTCGCTCCCTCCGAAAGTCTCATGAATATGTGTCACTCTAGCTTGCAGTAAAGAAGAGTGATTACAGGAACGTGAACTGTTCATAATTCACAAGGGTAACTGAAATAAAAATGGGAAGAATTTGTTTCAATTGTTTCTTTTTAAGCTAAAGAAATGCTGTCTGCATCTGAGATTTTTTAGGAAGAAAAGAGTATATTTTGAGATATAAATTAATAGCTTTCTTTTGGCAATCCCTAGGTGAAAGCTGTTGTTCTAGATCCAAGAAATGACTTTAATGTGGATCGAGTCCTTACAAAACAAGATGTGCAAAATCTTATCCAGGTAATTCTGACATGATGTTGAAGTCCCTGTCAGTACTTAGCTAAGACTATGGCATTATTTGCTACCTGTTCCTGAAACTAAAATGCCATTCTGTTTTGATATATACATTTTCAAATCTCTAATGATACTTTATTCTTGTGGTTCGGTAGCTGAAGAACGGACCATGTGTTCCCTCATGTTAGTAACAGCTTATACTTGATAGTATTCACAGTATGTTGGGAGACTGGACAGAAGTCTCTTACTCTCTTACTGTTGTAAAACCTGTAGCATAGGTGTTGACAGTTTGGAATTTTCCCCAGTGATTTGAAAGAATTCATTTATTCCGTCTCTTTTCTTAGCTCTGCGTTACTAGACTGCTTGACACAACAAACCCATCCCTGGACACGATTAAGATGCAAGTTTACTTTGATATAAATTATGCAAAGCGAGGTAATTTCAATGCAAATAAATTATTTAACAGAAGAAGTTGATTCTGAGTTTAGCCTTTAATATCTTTCTATAGGGATAATAATGATTCCTGTTAAATGACTGCTGGCAGTAAAGCAAAATAAAAATCCCTATATAGGTGTACTGCATAGGAGTATAGTGTTTCAGTATGCATACGGGAGGGAAAAAATGTACATTAGATTTGAGAATACACTCATCTCATCCTGTCTGAGAGATTTACTGAATGTAACGAATTAGATGAGAGATTTATTGAATGTAACGTATTAGATTCCTTGAGATCATTTATGCTTTCAGTTGCACTGGCTTACCCAGCACTGCACCAGCGTATCTGAAAGAGAACCACTACCTAGAAATGCACAAACATATGTGAAAGAGAACATAATGTTTTATCAATTTCCATAATTGAGAGAGACAAGCAGTCTTGAACAATCAGTTATAGTTTTAAAAAGATTGAATTTATCTGATTTAGAGATTTTAGTAAATGAAAATGTTTCAAACCCCATGAATTAATCACATCATTACCCATCGTCAAAGCCAAGTATGTTTTGCCCTGGCCAATGGTAACTTCACACAGCCTCAGAATGGCAATGTGGAAGTGGAAAAAAAAATGAGAAAGGGAAAATGGTCTCTGCTGTCACTGAAACTTTAAATCTTAATGGGTCAGGAAGGGCTGGGACACAGAAGACATTCAGAACGAGAGAATAAACTTTTATTTGGGGGGAGTCATGAAAATGTCATTTTATTATTATGAATTAAAAACAAAAATTAGCAAAACTAGAGGGCAGCTCCAAAGCATTTTGACTTTGGGACTGAGCTCAGTAAGTTCAGTAGAATTCTGAGACCCTGGGGTAGTGTTCAGGTTTGAGCTTGTAATTCTACGTGTATGTAGAATACGGTTGTGTGTGTGTGTGTGTGTGTGTGTGTGTGTGTGTTAGATCCTACTACAGTCATTGGAGTCCAGACAGTCAGAGAGTTGCTGAGTGGACTAAGTAGTTCTCTTTAGGCTGGGTTAAATAGTTCTCTGGACTCTTAATGACTGATATCAGTTATGTTAGTTGTGGTCGTGTTAAACTTTACTACTGTAAATCATAATGGTCTAGTACCTTGGACATCTCATTCACATATCTAGGCTTCAGAAACCTTTGAGTAGGCTGTCTGACCCTGGCAATGAACCGCACCCTCTGTATATACCAAATTGCAATGAATTTACATAGCACTTTCTAATGGTCCTTTCCTAGGTGAATTACTCAGTGAGCAACATCGTGTTCTAAAGGGAAGGCTGGCCCCTGTGGCCAGAGAAATCACAGATAGTCGTCCTCGTGTGAAAGAAGAAATGGAGAACGTGTATCGAACAATCGTTAGCTATGTGCTGCTGAGCTCTGGCCTTGGATCCCCTACAGATATCGACGTTGTCAGGGAGGTAACAGGTCTGTAAACTCTCAGTAGTGAAATGGGGCTTTTCCTACTGAAAAATGAAGTTTTACCTTCTCTTTGCTGATCTTTAGATCCAGATGTGGTGAACTGTGATGAATCGTGAGTACCCAGATCACCGCTGCCCAGCCTTGAAGTCAAAATGTACCATAGACTTTCCACAGTTACTTTCCAGAGTTGTTCAGGGGAGGATATTCTTGGTTTGTTTAATGATTTTCTTTTCTGATCCTCCAAATGGAGGGTTTTTTCACCTTCTGTAATCCTTTTAGCTGCCTTGCAGAGTGTATTCCCTCAGACAGAGCTGGCTACTTTCATCTCTCTCAGTAAGAAGGACAAAGAGCAACAGCTGAAAACTCTTACCATGCTCGTCACAGGAATTCGGTTGTATAACAAGGAATGTGGGAAAGGAGGAAACAGCATTGATGACTGTAAGCATGCAATGGTTTTTTGATTGTGAATTCCCAGTTAATTCTTCCTGGCCTTCTTTACTAGTATAACTCTAATGATATCCTGTCTCTCTAGGTAAATGGCATTGAACCTGAAGGAAAAGTACGTGTTTAGTGTTTGAGTGTAGTATGATTATTTCAGGTAGACTACTGTTTAGCGAAGAGTGAGCCCGACGCGGTTGATGTGGAAGGGTTGTCTGTATTAACTTCTAGGTTCACAGGGCCTTGGTTACAGTGTGACCAGATATTCAGCTACTGCGGTTATATAGTAGTTGTGATTTACAACATGTTGTGGCCTTTGCCACTCTTATGTTTTTCTGTGACTGATTAAAATAGATAATATGATTGTTAATCCTGTTACACTTGTTAGCTTGCTGTAGTATGGACTGCTATTGTATTGGCCTGTTTACATGTTTACTTTTGACTAGATGGGAAAAGAAACAGCATGAATGCTCATAGATCAGAAGTTAAAATGCATGTCTTTATACTGAAGGGTTAGACCCTTAAAATGTTAATTTAGGTGTTAGCAGCAGTCTTGCTGGGGAAGGGATCTTCATTGGCTTTTTACCCTGCTTCCAAAAATGTAAATCAGCTGAGGTTTCTCCTGCTGTGGTTAGACCACTTGTAATACCTGAGCAAATTTGCTTCCTAGTCTAGCTTCCCAGCTAGCTTTGTTAAATCTAGGCTATCTATGCCCATAGTGTTTTGAGTGAGATATACCTGAACTCCAGTTACTGTACTGCTGCTTACCAGTGTTTCTTGCATTAAAAGCTCAATCTGAAGAGGAATAAACAATAAATCTGTGTACTGTGCACTTCAAGAAAGTGGCTGGGCCTTCTTTCCTCGTTTGCTTGCATAAACATCTACTCGTGTATCAAAACATAGGGTGTAAGGGGTGCCCTCTGTTGATAATGAATTTTTAAAGAAAAAGGATTTGTTTATTGAATGTTTCATATCAGCTAAAATATTTTAGATTGACCTGTGCCAGTTTGGGGAATTTGTGTTTTTTTTAAGTAGTAATACTTAGTTTTAATAACTGCATAGATATATTTTTTTGCATAGTACCTCTTTTCTGTGTTTAATAACAATCTGTCACTCTTGCTTAGAGCATTGTTAGATCTCTAACTAACTATCCAGGAAATGGGAGGCCTGTTACTGTTATTCGTATCTTACAAATGGGAAAACTGAGAACTGAAAATGATGCAAATTATCTAAAGTCTTTCAGGAAACCCATACCAGTATTAGCAAACAAATTGCATCTACTATAAAGCTAATTTTCTCACAGTCCTTGACTTGACTGTGATGTTTCCACACCTGCAATTATGACTGTTTGGAACCACTTGACTAGTGGTATACCTCAGCTGCATGTAGGTAGTACACGAGCATTTGGAAATGCATTAATATAAGGATAAAATTTAGAAATCAAAATTGTGTTGGAAGATTACTTTGCTCATAATACTGTTTTATAATCATTTGCTAATGATTTAAATCATTGTTTTTATATATATATCTCATATTTAATCTATATAAACAGTGCCAGCCATTCTGAATGAAGCTATTCCATCAGCTATGCGGGCTCTTGATGAAGCTCTTAATACTTGCCATACATTAGCCCCCTGTTACACAGCTCTGTTGGAATCAATGCATGAAGACCATCGTAGATATATGCAGCTTAGTTCTTTTAAATTAAAAGAAGCGCTGTTCAATGTGAGACAATATGAAGCCTTCCTTTGTATCCTCCTGGTGAGATATCATCGTGTTGTATCTGATGGATTGTTGCTACAGGTGGAATTATTCAAGTTACCTACTTGTACTGGATAGAAAAGTGAGGGGCATGATTCAGAAACCATTGAAACCAGATTTATCTTAGTACATGAGAACTTACATAATCTGTCATGCTGAACTTTAACTAACTTGCTGGGTTTGGCTACGGTCAGGTAAAAGACAAAACAGGTTATTTGATCCAGTGTGACTGTGCTTCCATTTCCTTTTTAGAGGTTTTTTTTCTGGTTTAACTTCATTAGCAAGGGATTTAAAAATTAGAATTTTTTCTTGTTTGTATACTGATACTTAGTCTGCTTGGACACTGTGTGATGAATGGAGAATAGTAAGTGGGATTCTGTCATAAAATACTTTGTAAGAAAAAACAGATTACCTGAAAAAACAAATTAGATGTCTTAAAACCTGAAATCTGAAGAACACAAACAAGTGGGACAAGAAGACTTGTTTCCATTAACAGCTGTCCCCCAAAAATGCATGAAAGACAAATTCTTTGTTCAATGTGTGTATCACCTCAATTTTAATCTGAAAACACCCCCAGCATATACTGCGTGGCCAGAAGTCTTTTAAGAGTACCACTTAAATTCTTGAAACTTCTGTTTTCTTTATAAAGACTGTTTTATTTGTCTTTTGAGAAACTGCAGGCTTTTTATTACTTTTCTGCATATCATAAAGCTGTGAAAAGTATTTCTCTTTTTATTTTTTTTTCAGTTCTCTTTGTTGTGAAAGTGTAGAGGTTTTATATGAAAAATACTAATAAATGTTTGAGAGAAGTAGTGCCTGGTTTTATACCTGAATGCTTAAGGAAAAATGTATTTCATTGCAAGTTGGGGTGCATTTCATTCCTTGAAATAGTTGTCTGAAAATAGTTGACTAAAGAGTTCTAAATAAATATTTATTACTAAATATTTAAATTTTTTGACCATCATAGTCTTACCTGAAGCATGTTCTCTTTCCAGTCTGATGTAATTACAAGTGCTCGAGAAGTTGAAGTGACGAACACGCAGTTTGCAGCAACAATGGAGCAGTTAAAAAATACAGTTCAGAATAAGGTTTCTGTGGGTACCACAGAAGTTTTTGTGAGTATTTTGGGTGGAAAACCTATTTCTTCTTAGTTAAAAAAGATGAGAAAACTATTACGAAATACTTCTTCAGTGTATTTTTGCATTGTTTGTGTTAAGAAAAAGGCTACGTTATTTTCTCTCTGATATAACAGCAACTCCAAGTATTTTTTTGAAGGGGAAACTAAAATAAAGATTGGATCTCAAGGTAGAAGAAAAGCAGGGTGCAGAAAGTGGGAGAGGGAATTAAATGGTATTTTATTGTAAGTGTCTTGAGTTATTTGTCAGTATTTGCAGATTTAGTCATATTTTCTTGTTTTGTGTAAATACTCTCTCCTGTTTCTTGCAGAAATGGCAAGAATGAAATAATACTAGATAACAGCACATGATTCTGTTAAAGTCCTTTCAGATAGCAATATCCTGTAATTACAGCATGACTTCTGGATAACATTTTTCTAAAGAACATAGGTTTCTAGCTAGGGTTTTCAGTCTCTATGGCCATCCCAATGGCTTCTGGCCCTATTGGCCAGCTTCAGCCAAATTTGCTGGAGATCTCCAAATCATTCAGTTTCTGCAGGTTTTGTGGAAAATAAGGAACCGGACAGTCACAGAGCCCTCCTAAGATGAAGTCTGCAATGGGGGTGCCACAGGTAGCGTGTGCAGCCAGCCAGCCCGCCCTTCCAGCTGGTCAGTGTGTGTGCTGCCTGGCCAGTGAGCAGACATGCGGCTCTGAACCATCCATATTCTGTGCTGTTTCATCCGTAGTTGATAGTTATAGGACATGGGAGGAGGGTGTGGGAGGAAGAGGGAACAAGTGGTGGAAACTGGAGGTGCTGTAAAGGCAGATGCTTGACAACACTGAGGAGACCTGGGGTTATTACTGTGGCACAAGGTAATGGAAGCAGTACAGTTTCACAGAAACCAGGTTTCATTAAATTTGCTCTTCATGGAAGAGCACATTATTTTGTGTGATATGTCCACCGTTTTAATTTATTTTATTTAGCTGCTGAACTAGCATGCAGTTAATATAAATTTAGGTTGTATTTCATCCTCCAAAACAAATGATTAGATAACAAAATAAAATCTAGCGTGGAGTTGGGGAAGGAAGATCATGCCCTCTCTACCTACTCAGAGTTTTGTTCACACTTTTCTTAAAGGAATCTGAGCTGCAAACACTTGAGTGGCACTTTGACTGAGATGCATCTCAGGCGTGATCTCACACTCCGGTTTATATATATTTGTGATTTTATAAGCCAGACCTTCCTGTTCTGGAGAACATTTTCCCCTTTGTCCAGCTGCTTAAAGCAATTCTTTTTCTTGTTCTCTCTTTGTGGGGTTTAAGTGCCAGGTGTGCCCTGTAAAATAGTCATAAAAGCACTGGAGGGAGGAGAGGGAAGAGGTGAATGGGCTTCTCTCAATGGCAGGTCAGAGAAGGAAGCCAGGTGTAGGTTCTTTGACCTGCTCTGGAAAAGTCTGTCTGTGACAGAAGGACCCTACGAAGATTCACTTCACTAACCTGAGTTTAACCTTTTTGAATACACATTACCCTTTTCCCTAGAAGCTGTCTGCACTTCTCTGCTTTCTTCCTAGATTTTCTTCTCTCTTCAGGTTGGTTTGCTGGTTTTTCTTCTCTGCTGGAGACAGAATGTGCAATGTCATTTGATTTCAGGTCTTTTGCAGGTAGAGATTTCGCTATTTCAGAACCCTGTAAATAATTCTTGATGTCTTCAGGTAGTTGCTGAGAAGCTGCATCCCATAGGAATGTAGAGAAGTAGGATATTCTACAGTTTAAAAATTGTGGGATAAGGCCTATATTTATAGTAAGCATTTGTTATAGGAAACATAATAGATTTTGTGCATATTCTTTTGTTTATTCTAACGAGAATAATTTTGATCCTGCTTCCTTTCCTTTAATTTCTTCCATTTTTGTAACCGAGACATTTCGACAGTGTCAGTGACACTGGTGGATTCCAGGGCTAACTCAGCTGACCGTTCTTAAAATACTGTTAACATGCATACAATATAATGCTGTTAACATGCGTTTCAGGTTCATAGGATCTCTTCTAAACACTCCGTGAGTTTAGATGTAACTGGGAATGTTTTCTGTTACTATCACTGAAATCAACATTTGTCCTAAAAGCTCATGAGTTTTTTCTGTGTGTATGCTGACATATATGTCAGCATCACTTCTGGGAATGGCAGCTTCGCGTTTTGTCCTGAACGTTTTACCCTCTGAAGCTTGCAGACCGTTATCTGAGAAACCTGCTATGGCTTGGAAGCTGTGGTACTACGTCACTTTGGAAGCAGGGGAAACAAAATAGTAGAGTCTGATATTTTTTACATATGGGTGTGCTCTTACTTCATTTGGTAGTTAACCAGTTGCATTCTTTCTGGTTCTTGCACAGAAATCTCTCTGCTCCATCTTATTCTAGTACGCCTTATGTACAGTTATTAAACTCTATCGGTAGTGAAGCTCTCAATTCAGTGTGTGTCCTCGGGGTAACCTATTTTGGAAAGACTCTGGGATTTGGGCATACATGCTGGAAGTACGCTTTGAAAGCCCAAGAATTACCCTGAATTTCTGGATGCTGAGGGCCTTGTAGATCAGGCCTGCTTCATTCATAGCTGGGATTGTTGAGCACAGCATTTGGGTTATGTTACAGGCATGAACAATTATGGATTCAGATAATTTTCTTTATTTTCTAGCCTCTCTTTGTTGCACTTTCTAACCTATGGACCAGCTTTCAGGACGAGATACTGCTGCTAAGGTTCCTCACACATATGACTAATAATCTGCAGCAGTTCTTGGAAACCCAGTCACAGCTTTTTCCAGAGGAAGTGCTAACGTCTCTTCTTGAAGGAGTGACTGTGAAAAGTGATGAGGAAAGGATAAGAGAAACCATGGGTACTAAGAGTTATTACCTTTTCTTTTTCTTCATTTTCTCAGCCCTTGCAAGATTTTGTAGTTTAAATTCTATTTGTAGAAGGTACTCCATGTTCGTTTTAATAACTGGGGTCTACACAGAGGTTAATAAAATGAAGTCCTATGGATTTTTTTTTTTTAATGTAGTGTAGTTCAGGCTTTTATATATAAAATTAAAATATATCTCCTTATCTTACCAGATACAAACATACCGTATAAAAATGGCAGAATGATCAGAGAGAATAATATTTCTCAAATTATTTTTAAGTTTCTTAAGATTGTCTGTATCTCTTTATACCTTCTGGAACTTCTGAAATGGGGGGGAAGGGAAGGAGAATAAAAAAGCTTATTTTCTGGGGCTTTGGTTACTAGAAATATTTCTTTGTAAGATGATACTTGTAATAACCAAGTTATACTCTGCTTGTAGTAACCAAGTTATACTCTGGGATATTTGTAATATGTGGATGGGTGAAAACTAAATACAATCATATTATCTTCCTCTCGTAATCCCCTGTTTCTAGAGGAAATTGGTATTAAGAAACGACCCTAAAGTTAACTGTTTTTTCAGAAGGCTCTCTCCTGAGGCAGGGCTAAGGTTTGGCTTTTGGGATCTTAGCACTTCAGGCCATCCTGTGAAGATAATGGGAGTCCAATCATCCTGTAACATTATTATATTTTAACATGAGGGTTTTTTTTTACTTCCTTTTTTTTAATTCCTTTTTTACTTTACATCCTTCCTTTGTTAAACCTTTTTCCAGCAACCAGGGTAAACGTTTCTGATTTCAAGAACCAAGAATGGCTTTTTCCAGAGACTACCGCTAATTTTGATGAGTTGCTAATCCAGTACCACAGTTTCTGTGCACATGCGATTGGTGAGAAAGGCCTCATCCTTCCAGGTATGCTTTGTATTGAGATCTTTTTCTTACTTTATAAGTACACAAGTACTAGTGAACGTGTAAAGTAGCGAGCTGAGCACTACCTTTTATACCCAGCAGGAGTACTGTATTTTCACATGTGCAATTTCCACCCCAGATAACCCTTTAAAAATATTTTTCTTTAAAAACAACTGTCATAAACTGCCCAAAATAGCCCCTACTTCCAGAGAAAGTAGGCTCAGCCAAGAGACAGACTAGATGCGAGGACTAAATGTTTCCTCCTGCTACCTGTGCATCTGTATAACCTGCATGGCAGCTGAATTAAGGGTCTTTCTGGGTTTTGTTGTTGATGTGTTTTTAACACAGAATGGCAATAGTCATTCCTTCTGTTTTGTATGTTGGTGTGTTGCAAATGCAAACATGTGAGCCTAAATCATATGTATTTTTGAACAGTGGCTAAAAAGTACCAAAACTCTTGTCTGAAGGGAATGCAAAATTGCATTCAGTGGCCAACTAATCATAGGATTTTTTGGTCTGGTGTAGGGTTACTTATTTTGAAAGCAAATCTTATTCCAGCTACCCCCATCAGTTCATGTTGTCTCGCTATCCTTTATAGAACCACTCCATATAGAACTTTTCTAAATCTACAGCTGGCTTTAAGGGCTTAGAAGGAAAATATTGCTATTTTTTGGCAATACTAAAAAATAGGTCTGTTAATGGTAGTGTAATTTAGTCAGTATTGCAGATGAGAACAAGTGTCCTGGGTCAGACTAGGAGTCTCTCTAGCCTTCTATCCCATATCTGGCGGTGGTTAGTCATGGACACTTCAAGGTTAGGAGAAATCAGGTAGGAATGATCCTTTGAGAAGGTTTTAAACTGTGGCTTGGTAATTTTATGAAAAGCCTGATAGTTATTCTGCTGGAAGAGTAATGATTAGTCATTTTGTATCAGTTCTGCACGCCACTCAAGGTTTTAGAACCCTTGATTGTATTCTTTTTCAGCAGTTGTCTCTCTTTCATGTTGAAAAGGCCTGTTCCTTTAGCCTCTCCTTCTATGAAAAGTGTTCCGTGCCTCGGATCACTCCTGACTCCCTTTGTTTTACTTTTTTTTTTTTTATTCCACTGTGTTGGAACAAAATGCAGTGTTCTAAAGGTGTCATATAGGTAGTTATAATGGCATAATGGTATTTTTTTGTTTTTCTCACCCCGTTTGTGTCTAATACTTACTGACGTTCTTTTTGCTTTTTTCATTGCCACTGAGTAATGCCACTTCACGTTTTCAAGGCGCTGTCTGTGATGATTCTAGGTCTTTCCTGAAGACCTAGAATAACATCTGAAGCAGAGCCTGTCAGCATCCTTGAGCTTGGGCTGTGTTTTGCTATATGTGTTATTCAGCCTTTATTGACATTTACATTTGCTGTTATTTTATTATCTAGCTTTTCAATTACTTCATCTGCTTCTTCAGACAATTTCACTGTTACGCCCCTTGGTATAAATGGGCTGCTGAGCTGCAATCAAATATTTGTTGGAGATTGTAGGGCAAACGTTTGTGAGTATGGGCAACGTATATAGGAAGGAGTATGTGTTTACATACACCCTTGCTATAGGAGTTTTATCTGTTGTTTTTCTAGATGTAGAGCCTTATCTAGACTCAGACATGTTGGATGTGAACTTATGAAAAGCAGTTCTGCTGGCCTGCAGAAATACGTAGTTCTGTATTTAAAAGCTTACGTTCAGGGATTTATACTGATTGCAAACAAAAAAAGAACTGAAACTGACCTGAGGGAAACATAAAATCATAATTACAAGTGCCGTTTGTATTGGATATAATACTGGTTCACTACATTATTCTGGTTTTTAGGAAATCCTGCTATTGGAATTTTGAAGCATAAAGACAGATGTTACGTTTTCAGTTCCAAAGAATCTGCATACATTTTTGCTCAAAACCCAGATAAATTCATTCAGTTGAATACAGAAAAAGCAAAAGAACATGCAGAGCTAATTCAACTGCTCGAGCTTCATCATCACTTTGAATACCTTGCTCCGTATTCACAGGTACACATTGCTCTTGCTGAACAGCTCTTGGGTCACTGATCTGACCGTCCTTTCTAGAACATGAAGAGAACAGATGATACCCATCTTCAGAAAAGAAGTGTAATCATCTGCCTATCATACAGAATGTCTGAAACGCCATCCCTTCAGGTCTTTAGGGTGTAGATAAGGAACGTCTTCTCTTAATGTTGTTTGCACATTAACTCTGCCTGGGGGATATGTAGAGCCAAAGGACTGTGGCAGTGATAAAAGCTTTTGTCCTTAGCCTAGGAAAATTCTGTGGCTGATGCTCCTTTTCCTCATTTTGCAAAAGTAGCTTGAAGAAACTGTAAATAAAAGTAACAGAAGGAGATGAGAGCGTATTAAGTGGACTTTCTGCTCAGGAGTTCATCAGAATGTATTGGGGCAGTTGTAATGATATCTGGGGACAGGAGATACAGGACAGATAACAGTGTTAAAGGGGGCTCGTTATTAATCAATGTGACAGTGCTGTCATGTGAAATCCAAAGCCTTGATTTGGATGCGTAAGCTTTTTCTGATACGTTGAGAATTCTAGCTACCTAATGATGCAAAGAATGTGGCCTTGAAGTTGCCCTTGGTGAGAAAGATGTGGCTTATATCCCAGCCCTGGCAGAAATATAAGCTCTTCTCTTAATTAAGATTTGTGATTTTGAGCCCATTCCTGGAAATAAACTGAGATGCCTGCCTCACAAAATACATCTGCTGGTGATGGGATCCCTTTTCATCAAAATCCAATGATTAAGCACTCATCCAGGATGTGGGAGGCTGATATTCAGCTCTGGCCTCTGTCTAAAGGGTTTTCTGTCTGAATTTAACTGTATCAAATACTTTTTTTTTTTTTTTTTTCCGAAGAGGAGTGCAGGGGAGACAAAAGCACTGTTGACTATAAAAATCATTATTCACTTGCTGTTCTCAGACTTGCTACTTTTTTCACTTGATTTTAAAAAATGTCATGTCGATATGCCATGTTACTGAAATGTCTGAATTCGTCTAATGAATGCTTCGCCTTTTTTTTTTTTTTTTAAATCCAGGCCAGAAATGAATGTTTGATGAAACCAATCACGAAATGTGACAGTAGTACTCAAACTGATACTCATATCTTGCCCCCAACTATTGTGACATCCTATGAATGGAATGAATGGGAACTGAGAAGAAAAGCTATAAAACTGGTTTGTGCTGTTATTACCAGAGTTTCATGTGTGGGATACCAAAGTTCAGATTAAACTGTTGTAAATTATTTTTCGCTTTCAAAATAAATGTATCCTACACATCTAAATGTATCCAGGGATGAACACTTCTGTTATAACTGATTCTATCTTTCTTTTTCACATGTTTTCTATCCTTGTTTCCAGACTTTCCTTCTCACTCTCCCGTTTTTTCCATATTTTTTCTCCAGACAGTTTTTTGAGCAGTCCTTCTGGTGCTGTCTCTTCATTCTAAATTTTTTAGTCGCTGTAAGTGATGAATTTCTTGATTAGCACTGAATTTTAAATCTGTTTTTCTACACTAAAATAATGTTAACAGTTTGAAGATAATGCTATATACTTCTGTTGTAGAAAAAATGTTGTATTAGGGTTGGGTCTGGCAAAAACGTCATTGAACATTGAATGATTTCAATTAATGTTGTAAAATTGTAGTAAGTGGCAGATAGAACAGTTAGGAATACCTTTGGTTTTGTTTGACCCTGCAGAAAGCCTTCTCTAAGCAAACTTATCCATCTTTGAAGATTTCAGAGAACGAGGCCTTTATTTTTTGCATAATGAAAGATTTTTCATTTTAACCAACTTCCTCATGTTTGCCAAAACCAGTTCTGCTTTTTTGAAAACTGTGTCTCCCTCTTTCACGTAGAATCAGTTAGGAGAGGTAAGAAAGAGAGCAAGAAGGATATAGGATAGCATAGAGAGCCTAAAGGAAATGTGTGTTATACAATCATGGTGAAAATCTGTTAGATTGGAAACCACGGTATGTCTGTAGAGGGCTGGTCGCATACACAAAAGCTTTTAAAGTGATGGTATCTTTTAAAAAAGCGTCTTTTTAGGGCTTGTCAGCATGTGCGGTTGTTAAGGTATAGCACTTGATTTTCACGATTCAGTCAAAATGACCTTGATAGTATAGGGAACAGTTAAGTTACTAGTGATAGTTACCAGTATGGCTGGGCACAGAATAATGCTCTTACGTTTTTGTGAACGATGCAGTTTGGAGCTTTGTGGTGTGCTGTGCAGCCTGTTTCCTTTCTGCTGTTCTTTTTGCTCTTTTGCGGTGAACGTTATATAAGGAAAACAAAATTTTGAAATGAGAATTCTTGACAGTGTTAACTTGTTTGTAAAAGCTTTTAGTAATAGTTGTTATCGAGGTATATAAATAGAAGACAATTAGGGTTAGAGGATGCCTAGCTAAAAGCTTGTTTGCTTCTCTAATCGACAAAAGTATGTGCTGTAGCATAAATAAGCATAAGAGACACGCGTTCAGTGATTTATCTTTAGCATAAGCAAAGGAGTATGTTTTCTAATAGTTGAGCACAAAGAGCCTGCACAAGTCACTTTGTAGTTCATTAGTTTGAAACATTTAGAGACTAAGGGTGTTTTAGTATCCGCTGTCCATATGAGACATTAGTGATGCTGAGTTGATGCAAAACGTTCCTCCAAAATCCATGCAAAATTGTTTGTCTACACTGACTATGCTGAATTTGTAATACAAAGGCGATAACAATATTTAAATTTAAAGTGCTTAAATAATAGAAGTAGGTTACCAACTCATCTGTAAATTGGATGCTGTTAGGGGAGAAAAGGATGCATTTATGGATTTTGTTAGAGGAGAAGCTCAGATGCCTCCTTTTTTTTTTTTCTCTTGTTCGTACTGCACCAGAAAATTTGTATTAATATGAAGCATTAAAATGTGACTGTGTTACGGCATTTATTTGATGTTAGGAAGTAAAATTTTCAATTTACACTTGCTTCTCTGTGCAAGCGTACGGTATTTCTTTTAATAGCATTCATTCAGTTCTTGAGAGGGATGAGCTTAATAGAGAAACGATATTTCATGCCCAGTCTTGCTTTAATTGTCAGTAAATTCCTTTATCAGATTAAAAGGCTAAAATATCTTTCTTTATATGCCATCCCTTCTGTAAATTCATTATTACTCTTCCTACTGTATTTTTCTTGTTGACACTGTGCTTGAAATTTAGCTGCAGATTCAGATACCAAAATCCGTCTACACACAGGGGTTTCAACTTCCATTACAGTCAATAGAGAGCTAGTTGGTGGAGTCTGGAGAGTGTTCTGGTTTATCCTGATATGAACACCTGAATTTGGCCAACTTAATCACTGTCCAGCCTCCACTGACTTTGACAGTCAGTCTCCGCTGACTGATTTGCACCCTAGGGACTTTCTCTCTTACATGTAAGTGCATGAATCCCACCACATGAGACTCTATTTTGAATATTTCAATGAGAACATTATGTTATATATATGTTTTGCATTATTTTGCATCATTACTGACATAAAAAGCTCACTGGAAGAAGAGGCATACATTTGGTGTTTTAAGTGCTGACTTTGTAATATTAACACTTCATAAGAAGTGTTTTTGTAGTCATAGCTATAGCAGCTGCTATGATTAAACAGAGCTTTATTTTTGCAATCATAAATTGCCTTACGTTTTGCTCCTTGCCATGGAGATAATGAGCAATGTCTGGAAGGGAGGCATTTTTCCCTTTTATCTGATATTTTGTGACACATTCCCCCAAATCACTTGACAGAAACCAGCCAAAGGCTTGATCTTCTAATTTAGTTATCCACGTTATTTGGGCTCCTCAAACTTGTCCTAGGTTGCAGGTGCCTGCAGAGACTTATCTGCATGCTGTCACATTCAGGGTGCTTTCAGATTGATTCAAATGAATTTTGAGGCACTGGAAGATCTTAACATAAAAACAGAACATTTTATTCTAACAAAACGAAGTCTTCAGCATTAAAAAATAAAATGAAGCAGTTACCAAAGAAAAACACAAAAGCAGTAAAAGGCTGACTTAACATTATGCCAGCTATATATGCTGCTGTTCGCACATACTGTTTAGTTTCAGGAGTGATTAAATCACAGTTGCAAGAGGTTTTTGATGCCAGGGTGAACTGTGCCATGTTATGGGTTTTGTGAAGCCCATAGATGTAAAATATAGAAACGAATAATGTATAACATTTAAGTATACACTAGCACTAAAATGTTCAAAGAAAATTTTGCTTAATCTGATTTTGTATGTGTGTCTGTTTAGGCCAATCTGCGTCGCAAATTAACTCATGCCATGCAGACTAATCTCAGCCATATGAGAAGAGAGAACTCTACCCAAGTGTACTTGCCAAAAGATGTTGGCACCCAGACTAAGCGTGACAACTCAAGCAATGTACCCAGACCACAGATTTTCTTGGAAGGTCTCCGAGGTGGATCATCTCCTACAGCTCATATGGTCAAAGTAGACTTAACAAGAGCAGTAGATGAAACCTAGCTGAAAATGAGAAGGCTAAAGAAATACAGTAAATCTATGTATAAAATTCCCAATGTATTTCCAAATTAAATACTGCAGATTTTACTGTCTCTGTTGATTCCAGAAGCAGTTGTTTTATTTGTCATATCTGTTAGGGCCTGCTGAATGGCATTAAGTGATAGTAATGATAAGCCTGAAACAACTAGATTTTTAAAAGCAGTTAAGAATTAAGGCATGTCTGAAGATTCTGACTTAAACTAGCATTTTAATGGGAAGTGTGTGTTTTGAGAATTATATATTTAATGCAATGATTGTTTGCTGCGACACTATCCTTAAGAGCCACATCTTTGAGTGGTACATAAAAGGTACACTGTAAGACAAATAGCTGTTAAGAGATACGAGGCCAATCCTGCAGTTGCTACTGAGGCATAACTCTCACTGATGTGAAGTAACAATGAATCCCAGGACGGTCGTCCAGACATCACATCTCTACCCTTGGAGCTGCAGCATCAAGAAGGTAAAACCAGCAAAAGGAAATCAGTCTAGGGCCTCGAGCCTCTCCATTTGTACTGCTGATAATGCAAATGTCTTTCCACGGTGCTATGCTTTAGAAGTGTAGGCTAAGGCAGGGAGGTCTAGAGGAGGGAATGGACCTTGGATGGCTCGGGCCGTCATTTGAGATCTCTAGCAGTTTCTCTACGCATTGGCTAAATAGTGCGCTGGTAAGCGCATTAGAAACAGCAGGGACTAGACTTCAGGGCAGCTTTTTAAAAGCTCTGCTTTACCTGTGTTTTAAAAAAAAACAAAGCAAAACGGGAAAACGCTGTTAGTTTTATTTCTTTGTGGCACTGAAATATGCTCCAGGCCTGATAAACTGCAGTTAGTGTTTCCATTTTTGAAAAACAGAACCATCTGAGTTTTAGGTTGAAACACCTTTTCTCAAAGTAAGGACTAATGAAATAAAGAAACTTCTCCCAACAACAAACAGGTCCAAAATATAGTTCCTCGAAAATGTGTTAGGGTGCGCGTGTGATTGTGTTGGATGTTTTCTAACTCTTTTTTGGTCAGGTGCAACAAGATGCATCATAATTTCTTGGTTCATTGTAATACAACATCTGTGATGATGAAGTTAGCGGATTCAAGCTGCCAGGTGACTTTTCTGTGGTGTTTTCCAGCATTCTTTACTTAACTGTCTCCAAGGTATCTGGCCTCACTTTTTAAAGATACACAGCTCAGACAAATCTACAAGGCCTTAAAAAAAAGGAGCAGGCATGGAGCACAAAAGAAACTCATCTAAGTAGCGTCCTAGTATGGTTTTTCTCCTTTTTAAAAAAACCTAATTAGTAGCAGTCAGATGTGCTGCTTCTCTATGTTTTTCAATGATGGCACTGTTTTTTAGATTTACTAATAAAAATATGAACGATGTTACCAGTTGCAGCTTTTTTATTCAGAAAAAATAACCTATTGCTCAGCTGCTCTGTAATGCAATACTTTGTTGTTGTTATCTCCATATCATCATTTACTTTGAACATTTTATATTTAAGTCCTTACTTTGAACCAACAAACAGGTATTTTAAGAATACATAACTACATTTATTTAAAAGAAAAATGATGATTGCAAATCCTTTTTATCCTATTTCTTCTTCGTTTTCCCATTGTGAGAAGCTACTGTAGTACTGGAAAATGCCGGGGAATACAATTGTAATCATTTCAGTTTTAACAAGGCAGATATATGTATAAGAGTAAGGAGGAGTTTACTATTGGTTATGAGAAGTATAGGTGTGAGATTATATAACTTCCTGGATATTTAATACAAATAAAATAGTTTGGAAAAAAAGGGAGAGATTGTTTTTCAAAATGGCGTTACTCATGTGAACTCATGAGAGAGTTTTGAGTCTGATCATCATTTAAACTTTGCCTTTATTTGAATCTCTGGTTCTTCTGTTCTTTTCAATACCTTTGACTCATGCAGTACCAACTGTACTCAGGATGGAAAGATCACCCAAAACATAGCTTTTGCTTTTACTTTATAGCCGGTAATGAATTGTAAAGCTTGGAATTGTCAGCGTTTGAGGTTATTCATACAGTAGCTTATCATAGCACACTGGTGTCCTTTGTATTTACAGCTAGGTTTTGGGGTTTGGCATTTTTTTTCCTTTTTAGGCTTCGCTGTTTGGGAAGCACAGGACAGAGGAAGAGATACGTAGATTGCAGCATAATTCATCTGAATTCCCTGAAATGTATTCAGTAACGTGCATGTATCAGTTTAATCATTAAGTGACCTGGTACTTTTAGGAATGTCTGTGCTGATGCACAGCTTAAAATATCTTATCCCTTTTATATTCTTTAAGTCTCCTCAGTCTCCAAAGCAATGCGTCTTATACGGCCTCTATTCTTTTAATTGAATGGTGTTTAATCAGATTAGCACTCTATTGTGAGACTCATCTATGATCTGAATGAAGAATCTACTAAGCAGTATCCCCTGTAAAGCTGGGTATGTGTGCTGTTCTGAAAAAAAATGTAGCTTCTGGTTAGTATTTGGTCTGCATCCTTCCAAATACTTTCCTTTGTGCATTCTTAGTACAGAAACAAATCAGCTGAATAAAGCCTGAGGGGGAAGTAAATATGTAAATGAAAGTGTATATGTTCAATCAGTACAAATCCAAAAAAAACTACGGTTCATGTTATAATAGTCTCATTAATAAAACATCTTAGTCCTAGTTCTGGCTTTCCTTTCAAATCCTAAATCACAAATCATATTTAAACTTTTTTGGAAGAAAATATGGAAACGCCCCTACTAGGTATCTTTCAGCATCTAATCTTTGTTCTGAAGGTCTCTTTTGGCTTTCAGATAAAAGGGTGTCTTGGTATAGAACAGTGCAAATCCCTTATAGATAGCAATTCTACCCAGTTATTCTGGAGATGAAATAAGCTTTTGCATTTGATCTTCAGACTAACGTTGTTTTGAGATTACTTTCCATGTAACGTTACCTTCAGCTTGAGCTATGTGCACTGTACAGATTTACAGCTCATATCCTTTTGATAAGTGTTCTAAACAGGTAAACACTAGGGGTTTTTTTATTTAAGATGCAAAATAGGTAAATGCTGCAAATAGGCAGGCCTGACTATAATTAGCAACTGCTCTGAATCTCTAAAAATGGGAACCCCAGTGACAGATTTTTTTCCTTTAATACTTTAATTAATACAGTTCAGTAGGGTAAGAAGACTTAGACTCGGCTCATACAAATATTCTCATTTCTGCTTTTTATGGCCACACCTAATGGTGTCTCTTCCGTGATGTTCTTTTGCTTGGAATAACTCATATCAATAATTCTTACTGACATATTTCTCTCTTTTCACCTTGTTCTGACATCCAAATTTAAGAACAGAAAGGTAAAATAAAGTAAGGCATTTCTTAGTAGGCACTGTTATCATCTAAGCCAAAAATAACTTTTTCTCTTTACAGCAATAGATCTTTGTAAGTTACGACTTAAAACAAAATTACTCTGTAGCTCTTTCCCGAGAACACGTTCCTCTCTCCTCGAGGAAAGAGCGGCACCGGCAGCGCTGCGCTCATGCCGAGACTAATACAAGCCTGGGGCTTTTCGACGCTTGTTTGAAACCATCTCAAACCTGTGCAGTCCTAACCCATCCTTTCCTCACCCTTTTAACTTCACTTGAGTCACAGAGTTTCCCCCATGGGCTGTACCGCCCTTCACAAAACGGTCATCCCCGCTTTGCCGACCGTTTGGGTCTCAGGCGCCCGGCAGAGCCGCGGCCGACGCTTCTTCCTGAGCACAAGAATAAACTAAACAAACTCCCGTCTTGTACGTGCGCTCCGCTCAGGACC